TCAGGAGTCTTCTCCAACACCCAAGTTCAAAAGTGACAATACTCTTCCTATCCTGCTTCTTCAAAGTCCAACTTTGGCTTCCATAGAGGGTCACAGGGAATTCCATGGCTTGCACGATTCTGATCTTTGTAGGTACAGACACATCCTGGCATCTGGATATCTTCTCCAAGGCCTTCGTGGCTGCTCTACCGAGTACTTGTCTGTGGCGTATTTCTTGGCTGCTTCTTCCTTTACTGTTTATGGCTGATCCTAAAAGGCAGAAGCTGTTTACCACTTCAATATCTTCACTGTCAGTTCTAAGGCTGGTTGTTATATCTGTTGTTATTAGCTTGGTCTTCTTTATATTTTATTTTAGTCCTATTTTTTCACTGTGTTCCTTGACTTTTATTACTAGAGCTTGCAGATCCTTTGCATTTTTGGCAGTCAGGGTGGTGTCAACAGCATAGCGCAGATTACTGATGTTTCTTCCTCCAGTTTTAAAACCACGCTAATCTTCTTCCAATCCAACTTCCCTTAATACACGTTTGGCCTATAGGTTGAATAAATAAGAGGAGAGCGTACAGCCTTGTTGCACTCCTTTGCCAAATTGGAGCCAGTCTGTTTCACCATGTCCTGTTCGTACTGTGGCTTCCTGACCTGTATGTAAATTTCTCATGAGGACAATGAGAGACTCTGGGATTCCCATTTTTCTGAGCACATTCCACAGCTTGATGTGATCGACACAATCAAAGGCCTTTCTATAATCAAAGACGCACATACTAATATTTTGAATATTAAGACTCTGAACTTAATTTTAAAGAATAAATGCATTTTTGTGGGAAAGAAAAATGATTTTTAGTATTGGAGACATTACAAGATAATTGATAATGGCGTTCAGAGATATTGTTGAGGAATGGCAACGGGACTTTGAATCAACACTGTCAACTGTGTGTTTTTATGAACACCCTCTTCCCAGAAGAAACCATCACACCAGAAGATGCTATTACAGAAAAAGATTTGAAACAAAACCTATCTGAAATTATGATGGAGAACAACGTGAACAAGAATTTATCACTGGATATAAAAAAAAAAAAGTGGATGAGGCTCTAAAAATTAAGACAGAAATAAAAATGCCAATTCAACAGTGTAAATGGAATGTTTTTTTCTTGCTTGACTTACAAGAGGCTTGTTAAAGTTTTGAAGAAATTCGAGACAAGGGATAACGATCATTCAAATGGATTAAAGAACAAGATTGTTTTATATAGAAAGAAGGAACATAAAGTTGGCTTATTTGATCAGGGTTAAAATGGGATATGTTGTTATTTTGTGGGGTTCTTTCTGGACTTCCTGACTTCTGAACTGGAAAAGACATTGTGTATTGGATTTGCTTATAGTTAAGTGTCAGGATAACTCTTTAATGTCAGGATAACTCTTCAA